GATTTATTTATTAGAGAGAGGGAGAGAGCACATGTGCGAGATTGAGTTTGGTGGGGAGGGGTGGAAGGAGAGGGAGAGAGAATCTCAAGCAGATTCCCTGCTGAGCGTGGACCACAGCGTGGGACTTAATCTCAGACCCTGAGATCACCACCCGATTGGAAACCAAGAGTTGGATGCTTAACTGACTCTGCCACTCAGGTACCCCAGTTTTTTAAATTTTTTATTTTTAACAGCTTTATTGAAGTCTAATTTACATACCATAAAAACCTACCTCTTGTAAGTGTACAATGCAGTGATTTTTAAAATTTATTTATTTATTTATTTATTTAATATATAGAGAGGGTGCACACAGTGGGGTGGGGAAGAGTCTTAAGCAGACTCTGCAGTGAGGGTGGAGCCCGATGTGGGGCTCGATTTCACCACCCTGAGATCACCACCTGAGTGGAAACCAAGAGTCATTTGCCTAACCAACTGTGCCACCCAGGCGCCCCCTGCAGTGATTTTTTTAAAGTAAATTTAGAGAGTTGTACAAACATTAGCACACCCAGTTTTAGAACATTTTCATTATGTCTATTTTCAATTGTTCCAGTTTATAATTAATCCCCAGTTCCAGCCTTAGGCAACCACTAATTGACTTGGTTTCTAAATATTTACCTTTCCTCAACATTTCATGGAATCCTGTAACGTGTGGCTTTTTGGGTCTGACTTCTTTCTGTTAGCATAATAGTTTCAAGGCTCATCTCTGTTGTGGTGTGTTGTCAGTACTTCAGTTCTTGGTACTGCTGAGTAGTATTCCATTGTCTCGAGATACCACATTTTATTTATACATTCATCTGGTCAACAGTTGTATGCATAAAAACTTGAAGTGATTTTCTTGGCTGGTGCTTTTATTTATTTAAAAACTTTTTAAAAAAGGATTTTATTTATTTATTTGCCAGAGAAAGAGAGCACAAGCAGGGGGGAGCGGCAGGCAGAGGGAGAAGCAGGCTCCCCGCTGAGTGAGGAGCCCAATGAGGGGCTCGATCCCAGGATCCCCGGATCATGACCTGAGCAGAAGGCAGATGTTTGACTGACTGAGCCACGCAGGCGTCCCTTGACTCGTGCTTTAAAAAAAAAATGAAAACATTCGCTGTTACGTTCCCCTACTTAATTACAAACGTGCCCAGTTCATTGACTCAGAGTAGAAGTTAGCTGTGATGAAACGCCATGGAGGTAGCTGACCCACCACGGTGATGCCCCAATGCATCTCGCAGAGAGCATTCTGGGAAATAGGAGAGACCGAGCTGAGGAAATAAAGAGCCCCATAGCACAGGTACTCCTTTCATTTAGTAGGAATGATCATATAAGTGAGTAGAGATGAGAAGAAATGGAAACCTTAGGGTGACAAGGTTATAAATCAGTGCCTAGTGTGCCTGTGGCTACACAAGTGTGTTCTGCTTGATTCACTAGTCCTAACTGACCTGGGTTCGGATTACAGATTATATAAGATCTCCTGAGATGCATCTCTCTCCTAAATGTCCATCAAGCCTGTATTCCGAATGCCCCCAGGGGAGGGACTGTTTTGGTCGTCATTACCACAGTAGCCAGGCATTGTGCTAGGTGCTGGGACAACAAAGATGAATGAGGTACAATCCCTGGTGTGGGAGTTCAGGTCAGCATGAGGAGGCATCTCTAAAGCAGATCATTAACAGAGAGGTTGGTCAAGGGTTGCAGTAGAAAGAAGTTGAGAATGAGGAAGCACTCAGGAAGGCTTCCTGGTGGAGGGTACCCTCGAGCTAAGTCTTGAATGACCAGTAGGTATAAGCTCAGGTCCATTGGGGAAGTGAAAAGGGGACATGGGAAGGGTGATAAATAGCATGGCCTTTGGCAAGGTAGTCATCAAAATGAATTAATTATAGGATTAGTACTCTCCCTGAGTTTTCTGCTGTGTTGGGTTGGTTGTGACCTGTCTGCATCTAGAAGGTAATACTGATGATGTAACCCAAACCTTGGGGACTGGTTTTGTGCTGTTCACCTGCATTCCATTCCCTTTAGTGGCTAGATATTATCTAGAGCTGGCAGGGCAGCCCCTGACTTGTGCATTAGAGAGCCAAGTAAACTAACAGAGATTGTTGATTCAATTATTACATTTGCAGATGATTTGTTTAAAGATACAGGATGCGCTTTATTTTTTTTAAGTATTTTTATTTTTATTATTTAAAAAAAGATTTTATTTATTTGAAAGAGAGAGAGAGAGAGCATGAGCAGGGAGGAGGGGAAGAGGGGGAGAGGGAGAGGGAGAAGCAGATTCTCCATTGAGCAGGGAGCCCAATTTGGCACTTGATCTCAGGACCCTGGGACCACGACCTGAGCCGAAGGCAGACGTTTAACTGACTGAACCACCCAGGTGCCTCCAGGCTGTGGTTTATTATGTAGAACTCTAAACACAGCCCGGGGTTTTTGTTTTTTGCCTTGAGATAGGGCTTTGGTTGGGCTCCATTTTGCCATTCCTGTTTTGGTTCCTGGAATTTAGATGGTTTTGTTGGGTGTTCCAGTTTTCAGGAAGCCCTGAAATGTGGGCCTGCATGGATTTGTAGAGATACTAGCATATGCACATCTCATATTCAAGAGTGACATCTGCCTAGGAAAGAGGGTTGTTTCAATGTGGGGGGAGTATTCTGGGACTCATGGCTCAAGATTAATTACTTCCCTGAAAAAGCAATTATGGAGCATGCACCGTGTACCAGACACTGAGCTAGGTGCAGGGGAGCCAAAGTGGGAGCTGGAAACCAAATAGTGTTGTTGAGGACAGGTGTTAGATTTGGGCTAATTAGGCTTCCTTCCTGTGGAGGGCCAGCTTTGATCTTTGACAGTGGTTGCCTAGAATGCTGGGATGGATTAGTGATGTCTGTCATGAGCACAGAATGGAGAGTAAATGCAAGTGCTGTATATTTGCTGACACTGTTAGGGTTTTCTGGTGTAGATGGATGACTTGAGTAAAGGAGGGGTGTAGGAGAGAGAGGACATTTGTCTCAGAATAAGTATGTTTGCCTTGGTATGGGGTGTATCTGGAATCTACTTTGGATCAGTTTGGGATTGGGTCGGGCTGGAGTACAGATGTTGTTAATTATGTAGTCTTATAATGCTGCTTATTATGTACTCATGTACTGTCTCTTAAATGTCTTTAGCCTGTTTCTTCAGGTGTAAAATGGAGATAATACCTGCCTCACCTGTATATAGTAATGTTGATGGGAGGAGCTAAAGAAATAATGGGTATGAAAATATTTTACCGCCCACAGAGCAATAAGCCCTTGGAGTATTATTACTGCAGGTGTGGAAAGGAGTGGAACCGGAAATGCCTGAAGTTAGGCAAGGTTGAGCCAGATGGTGATGGCCTCAGGATCTTTGCACTGGGTCCCTCTGCCTAGTCTGCTGTGTCTGTCACATCCTGGTCATAACTCTAAGGTTACCTCCATTCAGGCCCCAGAATCTAAACGTGTTCCTGCTGTTTCTTCACCTACCACCTCATCTGGTTTTCCTTTCTTCAGAGTTCCTATCAACTGAAATGGTCTGGTTAGCATCTTTGTGTATCTCCCTCTGCTAAAACCGTGCAGTTTTGGTGAGGCAGAGACTGTGCTATCTCTGTATCCTCAGAGCCTAGATCAGTAGTGCCTGGTATATAGGAGGAGTTCAGGATTTATTATTATTTTTTAAGGGGAGGGGGATGGGAGAGTGCTAGCGTGAGTAGGGTGGGGGAGGGCCAGAGGGGGAGGGAGAGAATTTTCAGCAGATTCCACACTCATTGTGGAGTCTGATGTGGAGCTTGAGCTCACGACCCTGAGGTCATGACCTGAGCCTAAATCAAGAGTTGGACGCTTAATCAACTGAGCCATAGAGGCGCTCCAGTGTCATGGAATTTTTTGGTTAACTTTTCCTTAAGACTCTTTCTATAACAGTTTTAGGTTCACAGTAAAAATGAGAGGGCCTCCTGGGGTTTTTAATTATAACTGTGGTATGTATTACATAGGAGTTCATGGTGCTAAGTGGGTGCATAACAAGGCGCCCCAAGGATTTAACATAGGTTGCATGAGTGAATAGAAGGGCCTTAAAGTCCACAGACTCAATGGGCCTAGGTGCCCAGGAGCCCTGGGAGGACTGTAAGGAACAGAAGGTAGTATTGGGTGATGGGTATTAAGGAGGGCACGTGTTGTAATGAGCACTGGGTATTATACGCAACTAATGAATCATTGAACGCTACATCAAAAACTAATGATGAACTGTATGGTGGCTAACTTAACATAAAAAAAAAAGAATAGAAGGTAGTAGCTCTGACTTCATCTCTTTACCAGTATGTTCGTGATTTCTTTGGTTATTGAGAAATAAATTTAATTGAATCCCCAGTAGTAACTTAATGGAAAATTCATTCCATCAAGTCTGGATCTGACTTCACAATATAATCCCTTACAACCAAAAAAAAGAACAAGAATCAGAATTCATATTATTTTTTTTAGTGTATGTAACAGGCCATGAAATTGTACACTGTTTCCAATTTGGCAGGCTGGTGCATTCAATCTCTTGAAAGATAATCTAGTTCCTTAAACTACACGTGATATGAATTAGAGTTGGACTTTGTGAATTGAATACAATTAGCCCACCCTTCCCCATGCCAGACTGATTTGTTTTTAAATTGGCTTTTATTTTTTTCTCCTCTGCTGGCTGGCACCAATTCCATTTTTCTTCCTTTCTTGTGAATTGTTCCTATTTCTTCAAGAGGCTGATGAATATGGTTAGACTGTGTGGGGCTTCCTGGAGGTATGTGAAATAACACAAATGGAGAGAGGTGTGCTGAGGGGCCCAAGTCAATTGCATGTCAATTGCCTGCCCATAAATCCAGGTGTCAGGTGTGTACCTCCCCTGAGGTTTAGAGCTGGTGACTCACCCCTTTCCCGGAGGGGCTGGGGCTGCCCTGGTTGTCTCTCTCCCTGTGCAGGTGGGCTGATGAATCACTGGTTCTCTTGCAGGGTAACCTGTCTGTGTGCCCAGTTTGAGGCCGTCCTGCAGCATGGCCTGAAGAGGAGCCGGGGATTAGCGTTAACGGCGGCTGCGATCAAACAGGCAGCAGGCTTCGCCAGCAAAACCGAAACAGGTACTGCTTGGCCTGATGCAGTGCAGAAGATGTGGTCTTTTCTGAAAAGTTTTTATTTATTTTTTAATAGCGGGCAAGGCAGGCATTGTGTGGGACTGGGATGGGGGCAGCCTGATGGTGCAGAAATCCACATGTGAGGATGTCTTACCTGTAGTCAGTAATGGTGTTGTTCTTTGCAGAATCCTCAGAGCCACATGTTGCAATCTCTGGGGGCTCAGGGTCCTGTAGCCAAGGAACTTATGTCACCAGGTGCCATGGCAATTGCTGGGAAATCGATGATGTGTTTTAGTTTTGTGCATGGGGATAGCATGACATTTTGTAATTAAATCTGTCTTCAACACCAGCAACAAAAACAACAGAATCAGTAGGTCTCTGAGCTTACAGCTCTGCTACCATCCATTTTAGTTTTGTCCAAGTAGTGTGCCGTGCTCCTGTGTGTCTGGATGACAGGGATAATGCTAACAATCACTACTAACACACGGGAGCACTTTGTACAAGGCTGGAACTTCATTAGTCTTTTATATAAATTAACTCATTCAGTTTTTATGACAGCCTTGTGAGTGGTAGGGACCTTTATTTTCTCCACTGTACAGATGAAGAAACTGTTTAAAGTGATTTGCTTTGGATCTGGACCTAAAAGTGTATCATGTTGTATAAAAAATGTTCTATGTCTTTCTTCCCCAACTTTTTTTTTTTTTTTTGAGAAAGTGAGGGTGTGTGTGAGTAGGGGGGTTGGGTTGGGGGCAGAAGGGCCGAGGGAGAAAGAATCTCAAGCAGGCTCCATGCCCAGTGCAGAGCCCGACGTGGGGCTCCATCTCATGACCCTGAGATCATGACTTGAGCCAAAACCAAGAGTTGGACGCGTAACTGACTGAGCCCCCCAGGCGCCCCTCTTCCTCAGCATTTTATTTTATATTATTTTATTTTTTAAAGATTTTATTTATTTATTTGACAGAGAGAGACATAGCAAGAGAGGGAACACAAGCAGGGGGAGTAGGAGAGGGAGAAGCAGGCTTCCCCACGGAGCAGGGAGCCTGATGTGGGGCTCGATCCCAGGACCCTGGGATCACGACCTGAGCCGAAGGCAGACGCTTAATGACTGAGCCACCCAGGTGCCCCTCTTCCTCAGCATTTTATTTTTTTTAATTTTATTTATTTATTTGAGAGAGAGAGAGAGAGAGAGCACATGAGAGGGGGGAGGGTCAGAGGGAGAAGCAGACTCCCCGCTGAGCAGGGAGCCCGATGTGGGACACCATCCCGGGACTCCAGGATCATGACCTGAGCCGAAGGCAGTCGCCCAACCAACTGAGCCACCCAGGCACCCCTTCCTCAGCATTTTAAAGAGCAGCTTCTTTCAGACCCTGCTTGTGGCTGCCCTGAATTCCTGAATCTCGTTACTGTGACGACCTCCGTGTCCCTGCTGGTGCCCCTGTTTCCCAGCTGACCATCCGCCCTCGCCGTGTCTGGCGGAGGTATCTGTTGGGAATTCTCTGCCAAACATTCCCTTTGCCTCCCCTGCTCCCTTGTGTTGTGCATCTCCCTTCCTTTTGCTCTTAGCCCTTCAATGAATCTTCACTTGCTGTCATTCATCTCACCAGTTGCCCATTTTCATAAGTGAATGGGGTTCCCGTTGAGGTCAGGAGACAGCTGCAAGAGGGATTCCTGTCACTGGTTGATTTTTCTTCTGTGCTCCTGGGTCCCTCCCTTAAAAGTCAGGGACATAGAGGGCCAGGTCAAAGAGGAGCCGCCTTGCAGGGTCTCAGTCCCCGTGGAAACTACTGCCTACTGTCTTGGTCACCTGGGCTGTCAGCCTCTGTGGTCTCGGCGGTGTCTCCTGGCCTCTGCTTGGGGGTGGCTCAGTGCTGTGGGCTGGTTGATGAGCTGCTTGAGGACGTAACTTTGCCCAGAGTTCTCCTCGGTGTGATGGGCCCTTGTATTTCTTCTTGTTTCCATTTTCCCTGGCTCTGCAGTAGCTACCTGAGAGAAACGGGTGTGGAGGAGACCACTAGGCTCTGGGTCAGCTTCCATGCCATGAGGGCAGCTGCTAACATGGCAGAGGCAACCTTGGCTTTGGAGTCAGACCGTGTGTGTCAGTCTGGAATGACTCTGCGGAAGCATCCCTCTGAGCCTTAGTTGTTTTCACCTGTGAGGGCCATCTTCTCGTCTGCCTGGGGAGTTGTCTGGAGGTTTCAGTGAGAATCAGCTGCTTTGGTTCATAGAACCTAATAAACATTTAACCAGTTACCCTCCTCTCCCTAACGCCCTTCATTTTATTTATGTATTTATTTTTCAAAAGACTTTATTTGTCAGAGAGCGTGTGCACAAGCAGGGGGCGTGGCAGGCACAGGGAGAAGCAGACACTCTGCCCAGCAGGGAGCCTGACTCGGGACTCGATCCCAGGACTCTGGGATCATGATCTGAGCCAAAGGCAGGCGCTTAACCGACTGAGCCACCCAGGTTCTCCCCCAGCACCCTTTAAACTTGTAACCATTTCTTCCCTCTCATCCTCACTTGGACTCTGAGCCTTGGCCATGCAGAATAGCTCTTTCTGTTCCCATCTGGACTAGAATTCTTGTCTTTTTGTCACTTGGGCCTGGTAATCTGAGGAGCACCAGCACGTTTGTGAGGCACCGCCTGAGTTCCCATTCTTGCCCCTTCACTGGCTCTTAGCTCGATTTCTGCACCCGCATCCCGAAAAGAGACTGACCGGCATGCAGAGTCGCTGCTTTGTTTTCTGCTGCGGAGGAGGTTCTGGGCGGCCTTCTTGCCAATACGAAGCAGGGGAAAGGCCAGACCAGCTTAGCTCTCGAGGGGCTGCTGAGGGCCCTGTCAATCTTGCCTGCGGTGCAGTTAACCATTCATTGGTGCCGGATGGTCCGTGGCTAATTAAAATCTCTTTCCCACTGGGCGCCTGGGTGGCTCAGTTGGTTGAGCAACTGCCTTCGGCTCAGGTCATGATCCTGGAGTCCCGGGATCGAGTCCTTGCTCAGCGGGGAGTCTGCTTCTCCCTCTGACCCTCTTCCCTCTCGTGCTCGCTCTCTCTCTCTCATTCTCTCTCTCTCAAATAAATAAATAAATAAAATCTTAAAAAAATATTTAAAAAATAAAATCTCTTTCCCGCTGTTGAATGTTTGAATAAAAACCTCATATGGGGAGGGGCACATGTGGGTTTTCAACTGCTAGGAGTCGGGAAAGATCGAATCGGTGGCTGCTTCGTTGCTCTTGAAGCCATCGAAATGACCGTGGCAGGCAGAATGGAGAAAATGAAATCTAAAGAGGAGGCCTGCATGGAAATGAGCATCCCTGTGCTTCCTTGTCCTGCTGGCTGCTGGCCTGGCCCTTTCTGTGGCTTAGCACTTGATACTAGGCCCTAGAGTTGGGCGACTGGGTTGAAATCTGTGCTCTGGGATTCGTCACACATGAGCTCTCTGGGACATCCCCTCTCTGAGCTTCCGTTTCCTCAGGTGTAAAATAAGGCCATGCACAGGACCGGCCTCACAGTGTTGTGCTGGGGGCTCCAGGAGGAAGTGCCTGCAGAGCCCAGGCCTCGGTACAGAGCTCCTGGAGCTGGTGCTTGATAACATGGCAGCAGCTGGGGCGCCTGGGTGGCTCAGTCGGGTAAGCGTCCGTCTTCGGCTCAGGTCATGATCCCAAGGTCCTGGGATCAAGCCCCGCATCAGGCTCCCTGCTCAGTGGGGAGTCTGCTCCCTCTCCCTCTGCCCCTCTTCTGCTCATACTCTCTCTCTCTCAAATAAATAAATAAAATCTTAAACATGGCAGCGACTGTCCACGCTGGGTGACAATGTGCTTATTGTTTGGATGATGCCATTGAGGCCCAAATAAGTTCATAAATTGTTCAAGTACCCATAGCTAGTATACGGCAGAGCTGAGGATTCCAGCCCAGGTCAGACTGATGTCAAATTCCTGGCTCTTCTCTGCGCCCTCCTCCTCCGGCAGTGGCCCGATGCCCACTGCTGCTGCTTTGTAGACCACTCTTGCTCAATTAGCTAATTGGAAGGGACAGGAGACGGTAAGTAATGGTGAATTAATCCACAGGGCTGTTGCACTAGCTCTGTTTACAGATGGGAAGCATTACCTTTTGAAGACAGAAGAGCTGAATCAAAGTAATGACTGAGCAGAATGAGTGTTGAAATTCATGCTACAATAGATAATACTGAGTCCGCGGGGGCAGGACTGCTGTTGGTCATCGGGGGTTAGGGTGCATGCAGGACTAAGTCTGGAAACTGGTAACCCTTGTATGGTGTGCTTAAAAAAATGTTCTTAAAAAGTCGTCCACATTTATAAATTATGATATTTCATGTTGAAATATGGATTTTTAGCTTTGGTTCACCTTGAGGCTCTGTGGCTCTGGGCCCACATTCACTGCTGTGGTTGGAGCCACGCCCCCTGCCATCTGTAGGGAGGCCCAGTGCTCTGGTTCTCCACGCTCTGCTCCTCTCCCTCTTGTCCTTGACAGTTGAGACGCGTGGTGTTGTCATTTATTGTCCCGCTGTTGTTATTCATGTTGTTCATGTCTGAAATTTAGCAGTTTTCAAGCATAAACACCTCTCAGATGATAAGCCTTTGAAGTCAGTTTCCAGAGTGTGGACATTGTTGTCATTTTTGTCCAGTTTTATAGTTGCTTTCTGGGGAGAGGATTTGTTAGCTTCCTACTTGGCTATAGCCAGAAGTCCCTTGTTTTTGTTTTGTTTTGTTTTTGTTTTTGTCTTGATTTTGAATCCATCCTTGTCTTTGGCATGTGCTTGGTAGTTTCTACTGAGTGTTATGTATGAAGAGTTGGGTGAAACTTGTGATGATCTATCTTTCTTCAGAGGGGAGTCACTCTTGCTGCTCAGGCAAGTAGGATAGAGGAAGATCAATTTACTCCCATCAACGATTGAGCATGTCATGCCTGGGCTTCAGCATTTGCAAAGGCTGATGTATTTCTGCTTGTGCCTTCTTGCTAGGACATAGTTACTTGGGGTTTCCAACGTGTATTC